AAAACCTACAAAAAACTAACGATAAACTTAACAGTTTGCACTCAGGTAATTCCATAGGAGGTAGAGGAGAGTATGTCCCTGTATGTTCAGGCAAAAGCAAACTGCTGCAGCCTCTCCTAGCTTGTGCCTTCTTCCTCATTAATAACTTTTGCCATCTTGACCATGCTCTGGCTGTGTCTACACTGCAGAATGTATGCCGTTTGACACTGCTGTAACTGCCATGGCTCAGTGCTGTGGAATTTGCAGTTCTGTGGGATATTCAGCCTTCTCTGTCAGAGACCTGTGGTTCCGCAGCAAACTACAAATCCCAATATTTCATATCATGGAGCCACGGCAGTGAAAGTGGCGTCAGACTGCATTAATTCTGCAGCCTAAGTGAGCCAATGCCGTTCCCCTATTAAATATTGATGGTGAGTGCCCTCTTGGGACCCTGGTTAACAAAAGGGGCTCTGGCTATATGGCAGCTTGCATCCTTCGCATCGAGGTGCATCAGCTCAACTGAGGGTTGTGTGACTCAGTGTGTATGTGTGGGAGGACTTGCGAGTTTGTTCCAAATAATTTCACGTGCAACTTCACATGCGCATGAGTGAGAGCGAAAGGAGGAAAGCAGGAGGAAAGAGTTGGTTTGGGCGGCATTGCTCTGCGCAGGTCTCTTTGCTTGGGAGGGTGAGTCCCACCCTGTGAATCATTCTTGCGTGTGTGCATTTCTGGGGGCAGATACTAGCTCTCAACCCACGTGTGGGTCTCTCTCGGGAATTGTGTGGCCCCACCTTGTCGTTGCCACACAGAGGCTTGCATTGTTCTTCCCAGGACAAGTAGCTTCTGTTATTACTTCAGGAGGGTCCTCCTGTCCTTCCGATGAAACTGCGCTTCAGCAGTCAAAGAGCAGCAAAGGTTTCCAAATAGATGCATCCAGCACCAAATGGTTTCATGGTGTGTGTCTGTGTGAGTTGTGTATGTCGGTCTTCCCTCCCTCTTGTTCACTTGGCTCAGCAAAGAGAGTTGCCAAGGAAAGAGAGGAGCTGTTCCTAACTAGACATTCCTAGATTTAAATATAGAATTCCCTTTTTTCTTTCCCTCTCTCCTGTTTTAACCAGGCCACACAGCTCTCTTCTGGAAGGGAAACTGGTCCCCTTTCCTGTTCGGGTTCAAGAAGGATGGCATTCGTGAGCTGCAGTCGATTTCACAACACAGCGATCCAGACGTCCAGCGTTCAAACCAAACAATCTGGCACCGAAGCAAACAGATGCTTTGCCCTTTATTATGCAATGGGATCTTGGAGCAAAGGGTACTGGAGCACCTTTGAAGAGAGTGAGTGGGGCATAGTGGTTTGAGTGCTGGACTATGATTCTGGAGATCAGGGTTCAGTTCCCAGTTCAGCCATGAAACCCACTGGTTGACCTTAGGCAAGTCACATGCTCTCAACCTCAAGGGAAGGCAATGGCAAACCTATTCTGAACCAATCTTGCCAAGAAAAGCCCATAATAGGGCCAACATAAGTCAGGAAAAAACTTGAAGGCACACAACACACACACACACACACACACGGCACCATTGAGGCTGTCACAATACCCCTTTGCTACAATACCCTTTTGCATATTGATCTCCAGGCCTAGGCCACCTTTTTGAGCCGGGGGCTGGGTTGCTGTCCCTCAGACAATTGGGGGGCCGAAGAACCAAAAATAAATAAATAAATAAATAAATAATATAAAAATTAAAAATTAAAAAAAAGTTAAAATTAAAAAGATATGCATGCACACTCTCTCAGCCCCAAAAAAGCCATGGCAAAACCCCTGTGGAGATTTTGCCAAGAAAACACCAAGAACAAGTAATAACAACAATAATCAATATCATCATGGCGGGGGGCAGGCGTGGGCGGCAGTGGAGGTGGCAGGACCGGCCTGGGGCCATCCAAAGGCCTTGGAGGGCCGCATCCGGCCCCCGGGCCTTAGGTTGCCTACCCCAATCTAGACTATGTCTTTGAAGCCTGGATGAAAGCTTGGAGTGGATTCATGATCTCACTGTCATGGGAGATGGTATTATGGGGGGTATTATAAGGGTTAGGAAGTTGATTTCTCAATGTTTTTATGTCATACGCTCTGGATAGCTGGATTTTAATAGATCCTGGTTTGTCCTTTTGGCTCTCCATGGGATCTTCATCCCTCTTCTCCAGAAACACATTCTCTCAAAGGCACTGATTTTCTTCCTATCTTCTTTTTTCACTGTCCAGCTCTCACGTCCATCCATGGGAAGAGGGAATACTGTTCCCACCTGGTCATTCCTTCTGAGCATGGATGGAATATGAGATGATGGAGCATGAGATCTGTCTTGTAGCTTTCAGGCAGACTCCCAAATTGTCCTCAGTTAAGAAGTTCATCCTAAATGTTGCCTGCAAGCAAACCCTTTGCCCATATTCCATTGTTTATTCCAGTTAGAATAGACACATTGAATAAATGGGGATTTGTGAAGTCACTTGGGATGCTTTCAGAAGCTCTACTGTTCCTTCCCTTCCCTTCCCTTCCCATCTCCTTTCTTTCAAACTGTTAATTGCATTGGATTGTATTATGGAAATACCCAGAGTATAATTGTAAAATGTTTTATTTCTTTCAGCGTACAGAGCGATAATTGATGGGATCCCTAGATGAAACCTAAGGGTTTCCTTCTGATCAGTGCAGTTTGTATATTAGAATACTTAACTTCCACCCAGGGCCTGTTACTGGCACAGACAAAAATGCAAAAGCTGTTAGTGAGGATGACTAAATACAGCCTTGTGGATTCGAGACACTATTGTTGCTGTGTGCCTTCAAGTGGTTCCTAACTTCTGGCCACCCTAATGCTACCTATTGTTGCTGTTGTGTGCTTTGGGTGCCTCTCTCAGATAGGCCTGGGCATGTCTTTGACTGCCAGCCTAGTGACAGCCGACCCACATTGCCCATCATTCTTCATGTAGTGGTTAATCAAGATCTGTATGGTGACCTGACTTGTCTTTCCTAAATAGAGCGTTGTTTTGTTAGCTGCCCTCGAGTCATCTCCGACTCATGGCAACTCTTTGGATGAGACGTCTCCAAGACTCCCTGTCATCTATTGCAGTGGTCCCCAACCCCCAGTCTGCGGCCCGGTACCAGTCCGCAGAACAAATGGTACCGGGCCGCCCTGCTACTGCGTCTTCTGTGCAGCGGTGGTAGCGGGTCCTGCAACTTTTGCGAGTCCTGCGAGTCCCGATAATAAGCGCAGGGACGAGACTCCTGCGTCTGCCAACGTACCCTGGCCCAGCTGACCAGTGGGCTGCGGGAAAATTATCAAACGTTGACTGGTCCACAGCAATAAAAAGGTTGGGACCACTGCTCTATTGCTCTACTTCGTTTTTGTAATTCCGTGCCAGTGACCTCCCAATTGAGTCTGGACATCTAGTGTGCGGCCTTCTTTTCTTTCTACTTCTCTTCCTCTCTTCCTCTCCACTTTTCCTAGCATCATTGTCTTTATGAATGAGTCTTTAAAAACATCACATGTTAACCAAATCTTCACCATATATATGTACGTAAATACATTTAGGTTGTGCATATGCTATTGTAATCTGAATGTATAATTTTAATTTTGTTTATCTCACAACTGTTAGCATTACATTCAGTAGTATATGGGAATTTATGGTTTACAAGTAACATTAGTGCAAAAACACAAACATTACTAAGGATTCTGTATGGTGTGAAATGGGAGGAGGTCAATAGGGGGGTGCCACCATGAGTTACCGTACTGGGTGACGCCAACCCTAGTGACCCCACTGAACAGCACAGTGACCTATAGTGTATGAAATGCCAAGTTGTAGTGAGTCTACGCATCACAAGATGGCAGCATTCTGCTACAATTTACCATTTCGTCTAAAATATCACATTCATACCTAAGTGGAACATGACACACAAGCAGTTGTGCTTTGTCAGAGGAGGCATAACTGTGGTTGTTGTTGGTGTTGTTGTGTGCCTTCAAGTCGTTTCTGACTTATGGCGACACTAAGGTGATTCTATCATGGGGGTTTCTTAGCAAGATTTGTTCATAGGGAGTTTGTCTTTGCCTCCTGCTGAGGCTGAGAGACTGTGACCTGCCCAAGCTCATCCATGAGTTTCCATGGCTGAGTGGGGATTCGAACCCTGGTCTACAGAGCTTTATCATCCCATGCTCAAACCACTCCACTCCACTAGTTCTCTCACTCAGCTTCTTCTTCAGTCTATGTAAAAGGGAAAGCTTTCCGACCCTCAAATAGGTGACATACCTTCCAGCAAGGGACACCTGCCAGGTTATAACCAGCATTTGAATTAAGTCTGAAAACAGAGAGCAGCGAATAGAGCTGTTCCAACAAGAGAGTTGTGTGTTCCCTGTAGCCAGTTAGCAATCTGAGAAGACTATCGCAATAGGATATAACACGGCTTACCTGAGCCGGCTTAAAATTAGAAGCGGGCGGCATCCTGATAGTATCAGATGCATTTAGCCGCCAAAATCGCAGCCCAGGTGCAGCCTGGCTCCATCCCCATTTGAAGGGGCACTCCTTGCGCCTCTTTTTCCGGCTTGAAAAATTGGCCGCCAGAGCGCCCCTCTGAGCGATGCTGAGCGATCACCCTCTTTGGATAAAGGATGGAGCAATTTCATTATCAGACAAAGTTCAAAGGACACAAAATGGGATTGAGACTAAACTCAGCTCCTCCTCATGGCGCATCAATGTGCCTCGAAAGGTGATGGACTCTTTTCCATTATTAAACAGAGGCTGCATCATTGATCAATTAATTTTCTGCAAAAGGTTCGGCCAGAAAACATATGAGGTCCCTTGGGGGGGGCTCTGTCTCTCTCAGGCAGTATCCACATTAAAAATTGATGGTGCCTTAATTGCCATAGCTGCTTCTATGGAATCCTGGGATTTGTAGTTTGGTGAGGGACTTCTTTGTCAAACTGTGCAGTCCAAGGTAATTCACTTGAGAATAATACACCCCTCATCAAACTGTCTATCCCAGTATTCTATAAGATGGAGCCATTGCAGTTAAAGTAGCGTTAAGTTTCTGGAACTGTGTGAAGTAAAATCATAGAATTATAGAGTTGGAAGAGACCCCCAAGGGCCATCCAGTCCAACCCCCTTCTGCCATGCAGGAACTCACAGTCTAAGCAACCTCAACAGATGCCCATCCGAGCTCTGTTTAAAATCCTGCAAAGAAGGAGACTCTACCACACTCCAAGGCAGCGTCTTCCACTGTCAAACAGCTCTGACCATCAGGAAGTTCCTCCTAATGTTAAAGTGGAATCTCTTTTCCTCGAGTTTGAGTCCTGCTCCGTGTCCTATTCTCTGGAGCAGCAGAAAACAAGCTTGCTCCATTCTCAACATGGCATCCCTTCAAAACAGGGCTATCATGTCTCCTCTTAGCCTTCTTTTCATCAGGCTAAATATTCCCAGCTTCCTGAGGTGCTCCTCACAGGGCTTCATGGTTTCCAGACCTTTCACCATTTTAGTCGCCCTCCTCTGGATACACTCCAGTTTCTCAACATCTTTTCTGGTGCCCGGAACTAGACATAATATTCCAGGTGAGGCCTGACCAAAGCAGATTACAATGGTACTCTCACCTCTGTTGATCTAGAAGTTCCTGTTGATGCAACCAAGAATCACATTGGCTTTATTGGCTGCCGCATCACACTGCTGATTTCCTGATTGATTAAGATGGGGAAGACAAAAAATCAAAGTCTCCATGACCTGTTTGGCACAATCCTTCTCCTACCCACATACTTTGCTCCCCTTGGTGCAGAAATATATAATCCCAGTTTCCTAGAACAGCCAAATCTGCCATCCTGCAAGTATTCAAAACCACAATCCTAAATTTTTCTCACACACATACCTTTGTTGGTTGCAGTTAAATTCAGAAACATCCCCACTGCAACCGCTGCAGCGAACATTATTTTTAATAATTGATGTCATTCCACTGACCTATTTTCGCTCCACTCAAAGCTACTTTAGAGGGAATAAAAAGGCCAAGGGCTCTAAAGACTGGTGCATCCATTGAAGAGCAATGGAGCCACTGCCCTCCAACAGGATCCCCTTCATCTTCCCTGTGGACAATGATGGTTTCACAACAGGATTTTTGTGGTGTAGTGGTTTTAGTGTTGGACTATGACTCTGGAGATCCAGGTTCAAATCCTGGCTCAGCCAAGTAAACCCACTGGGTGACCTTGGACAAGTCACACTCTCTCAGCCTCAGAGGATGACAATGGCAACCCCCCTCTGAAGAAATTTACTAAGAAAACCCCATGATAGTTTAGCCTTAGAGTCACCATAAGTCAGAAACAACTTGAAGGCACACAACAACAGCAACAAACCACAATATTAGATCCTGTTTCAGAAATACACAGTAGGAGAGGGATGGGCAAGACATTATTCTCTCATCTGAGCCTGCTCAAGCTTTGAGATCTTCTAGGGAAGCCTTTCTCTTGCTCCTGCAACATCCTCAGAGGAAATAGATCTTCTTGGTGGCTGCTCCAAGATGATCAAACTCCTAGGGACTTCATCACATACAGCTTTAAAACTGTCATCAAAGTTAGAATACAGCACCTTTGGATATATGGTATGACACCATCTCGGTCACATTGCTCCTTTGACCTCAATGCGTTTAGAGCAGGGGTAGGCAACCTTTCCCCTTTAAGGGCCGAGGGACTTCAGCTCCCAGAATCCCAGGAGCTATTGGCCAACATGGGACTATTGGCCAACATGGCTGAGGCTTCTGGGAGCTGAAGTCCCTCGGCCCTTAAAGGGGAAAGGTTGCCCACCCCTGGTTTAAGCGTACTTTGTCATTGACAGAGAAAACCTGTCAATGAGATCCCAAATGCACTGCTCTAGCAATAGTCCTTGCACGGCAATTCTGGTATTGGGCAGTCATGCAGTGTCAGTGTCTCTTCCTCTCTCCCCCCGCTTGCTATTCCAGAACATGCTGGGTTTTTAAAAAATATATCTTATTTTCTCTTCCCCTGCACACACACCAAAGAAGGAATGACACCCTTCTAATAATAATAATAATAAAAATAATAATAAAATTTATTTGTATCCCGCTTATTGCCAGACAAGTTGGATTTTCCTTTCTATTTTTGGTGGGCACAGCCAACTTCTCCCTACCCTCACTTCTCGCCAAAGAAGAAATGACAGTCTTCTCTTCTTGAGGAAGACCCCCATTTCTTTTTAGCCAGGAATTGTGAAATTACATCAAAGAAACCTTTTTAAAAAATTAAAAATTGAAGGGAGGGCATGCATGCACAAAATAGGGCATGCAGGGATCAGAAGGCAGCGATGTGGAAATCATATTGCATAGCCATGGATCACCAAAGCAGCACAAAAGTGGTAATGCAGAGAATATATATGCATTATTCTCTGCATATTAGAGACTGATGTAAAACCAGTAAAGATTGATGCAAAAGATTGATTGATGCATAGA